CCTGTGTTGTTAGATATCACACATTATTGTCACTTGTTTTGCTAGATATCACACAGTATTGTCACCTGTGTTGTTAGATATCACACATTATTGTCACCTGTGTTGCTAGATATCACACAGTATTGTCACCTGTGTTGCTAGATATTGCACAATATTGTCACCAGTGCTGTTAGATATCACACAGTATTGTCACCTGTGTTGCTAGATATAAAACAGTATTGTCATCTGTGTTGCTAGATATTAAACAGTATTGTCATATGTGTTGCTAGGTATCACACAGTATTGTCACCTGTGCTGTTAGATATCACACAGTATTGTCACCTGTGTTGTTAGATATCACACAGTATTGTCACCTGTGTTGCTAGATATCAAACAGTATTGTCATATGTGTTGCTAGGTATCACACAGTATTGTCTCCTGTGTTGCTAGATATCGCACAATATTGTCACCTGTGTTGTTAGATATCACACAGTACTGTCACATGTGTTGCTAGATATCACACAGTATTGTCACCTGTGTTGCTAGATATCAAACAGTATTGTCACCTGTGTTGCTAGATATCGCACAATATTGTCACCTGTGCTGTTAGATATCACACAGTATTGTCACCTGTGTTGCTAGATATCAAATACTATTGTCATCTGTGTTGCTAGATATCAAACAGTATTGTCATATGTGTTGCTAGGTATAACACAGTGTTGTCACCTGTGTTGCTAGATACCGCACAAAATTGTCCCCTGTGTTGTTAGATATCACACTGTATTGTCACCTGTGTTGCTAGATATCACACAGTATTGTCACCTGTGTTGCTAGATATCACACAGTATTGTTTCCTGTGTTGCTAGATATCACACAGTATTGTTTCCTGTGTTGCTAGATATCACACAGTATTGTCACCTGTGTTGCTAGATATCACACTGTATTGTCACCTGTGTTGTTAGATATCACACAGTACTGTCACCTGTGTTGCTAGATATCAAACAGTATTGTCATCTGTGTTGCTAGATATCAAACAGTATTGTCATATGTGTTGCTAGATATCACACTGTATTGTCACCTGTGTTGTTAGATATCACACAGTACTGTCACCTGTGTTGCTAGATATCACACTGTATTGTCACCTGTGTTGCTAGACATCTTACAATATTGTCACCTGTGTTGTTAGATATCACACAGTATTGTCACCTGTGTTGCTGGATATCAAACAGTATTGTCATATGTGTTGCTGGATATCACACAGTATTGTCACCTGTTTTGCTAGATATAACACAGTATTGTCACCGGTGTTGCTAGATATCACACAGTATTGTTTCCTGTGTTGCTAGATAAAACACAGTATTGTCACCAGTGTTTCTAGATATCCTACAGTATTATCACCTGTTTTGCTAGATATAACACAGTATTGTCACCAGTGTTGCTAGATATCACACAGTATTGTCGCCTGTGTTGCTAGATATCACACAATATTGTCACCTGTGTTGCTAGATATCACACTGTATTGTCACCTGTGTTGCTGGACATCGCACAGTACTGTCACCTGTGTTGCTAGATATCGCACAATATTGTCACCTGTGTTGTTAGATATCACACAGTACTGTCACCTGCGTTGCTAGATATCACACAGTATTGTCACCTGTATTGCTAGATATCAAACAGTATTGTCATCTGTGTTGCTAGATATCAAACAGTATTGTCATATGTGTTGCTAGGTATCACACAGTGTTGTCACCTGTGTTGCTAGATATCACACAGTATTGTCACCTGTGTTGCTAGATATCGCACAATATTGTCACCTGTGCTGTTAGATATCACACAGTATTGTCATCTGTGTTGCTAGGTATCACACAGTGTTGTCACCTGTGTTGCTAGATATCGCACAATATTGTCACCTGTTTTGCTAGATATAACACAGTATTGTCACTGGTGTTGCTAGATATCGCACAATATTGTCACCTGTGTTGCTAGATATCACACAGTATTGTCATCTGTGTTGTTAGATATCACACAGTACTGTCACCTGTGTTGCTAGATACCACACAGTATTGTCACCTGTGTTGCTAGATATCAAACAGTATTGTCATCTGTGTTGCTAGATATCAAACAGTATTGTCATATGTGTTGCTAGGTATCACACAGTGTTGTCACCTGTGTTGCTAGATATCAAACAGTATTGTCATCTGTGTTGCTAGGTATCACACAGTGTTGTCACCTGTGTTGCTGGATATCACACAGTATTGTCACCTGTGTTGCTAGATATCAAACAGTATTGTCATCTGTGTTGCTAGATATCAAACAGTATTGTCATATGTGTTGCTAGATATCACACAGTGTTGTCACCTGTGTTGCTAGATATCAAACAGTATTGTCATCTGTGTTGCTAGGTATCACACAGTGTTGTCACCTGTGTTGCTAGATATCACACAGTATTGTCACCTGTGTTGCTAGATATCACACTGTATTGTCACCTGTGTTGCTAGACATCTTACAATATTGTCACCTGTGTTGTTAGATATCACACAGTATTGTCACCTGTGTTGCTGGATATCAAACAGTATTGTCATATGTGTTGCTAGGTATCACACAGTATTGTCACCTGTGTTGCTAGATATCGCACAATATTGTCACCTGTGCTGTTAGATATCACACAGTATTTCACCTGTGCTGTTAGATATCACATAGTATTGTCACCTGTGTTGTTAGATATCACACAGTATTGTCACCTGTGTTGCTAGATATCAAACAGTAGT